TTTACTGAATAGTTTAATATTATGTTTATAGAGTAAAATATATAATTTACTAATTTTATAAGTATCTGACTTTTAAAAATAATATTCCAACCCACTTATAATCCCACTACTCTAATGTCCCAAAGCAGTTATTCTATCCAGCTAAATAAAATTTTTGGTGTGCAAAATAAAATCTATCTTATGTTTTTTAGGACAGATTATTGCAGGAAAGAAGCAAAGAAGAAAAAGGAGAGAGAAGAAGAAAGGAAAATAATTGGGAGAAGAAGGATAAAAAATACACTGGTAGAAGATAGCCAGACAAATATGTTTTTTAGAACGCAAACTTATTTTTAAATGAGTTGTCATAATGAGGTGGCAAAGATGAATGATAAAGGGTATAACTATCACACTAATATTCTTAAAGTCATTCAATTTAGAACGCCACATGATATGTTTTTTAACAAAAATTATTGAAACAATCATGAAAAAAATTGCAAATTGTAAAATTCCTTTCCTTTCTGGTTGCGTAGTCTCTTCCTCCAGTGCCATGTCAGGTTTTTTTTCCTACTGTGAGACAGTGATGCATTAAAGGTTTTATTTCCTCCAGGGAAGCCCTAAATTGAAGGGACCGAGAGCAAAGCACGCTGCACGCTAAGGGAAGCTGCGAAAGGCAGAGGAAGCAGTGACTAGGAAAAGTTATGTCCAGAAGGTGTCATGAGCTGCTTTAGTTTGCAGCCAGAAACAGGAGTTCTGTTACAAAGAAAATGTGCTCAGTTAACGCTTGGGAAAACGCCGAGTTACATAAGTATTTAAACTTATGTTCAAGATCTCAAGATGTAATTTTCAGTAGTATTTAAGTCATGGGTCAAATCACTTGATTTTTTTTCCAGTACTTGAAATGTACCCAGGGCCTTCAGCATGCCACGTAAGTGCTTTACCAGTAAGCTACACCCTCAGCCCTATTTTTGTAGCTGTGATAAATTATACAGAAATGTGCCTCTTTAACTGTTATTAGGTGCGCAGTTCAATAGCATTAAGTACATTCATAATGTACAACCTTCACAGCCAAACTTTCACAACTCCATCTCCCCAAAGGGAAATGATAGCAGTTAATCAGTAACTCCTCATTCCGTCTTACTTCAAACTCCTGCCGATCACTATTCTATCTTCTGTCTCTATGTACTTGACTACCCCAGATAATTCACAAAAAAATAGAATCATATATATACAAAATTGTCATTTGTGTCTGGCTTGTTTCACTCAATGTGAGCTAATGTAATACTGTAAAACTTAGATTGAGATTCAACTATGTACAGGTTCAATCATTCTACAATACTGCGCAATATATTAGGTTTTCATTTTTAAGGCATACACTAGGATGCACGCATACATCAATAGGCATATGGCTTGTTTGTACTCCTTGGCTATAGTGAATAAAGCAGATACAAATGTTGAAGCACAATATCTATGCCACATGCATGATGTTGGAATCATTTGTCTGTACACTGTTCCATTAGATGTATTTTTTAAAAATAGGCAGGAGTGGTGGAGCACACCTGTAATCCCAGCACTCAGGAGGTTGAGGCAAAAGGGTCATTGCAAGTTCAAGGCCAGCCTGGGCTACAAAGTAAGCTCAAGGCCAGCCTGAACTGCATAGTAAGACCTTGTCTCACAAAGACAAAAATGATACTAATAGGGCTGGGGATTTAGCTCAGTGGCACAGCACCTGCCTGGCAAGCACAAGGTCATGAGTTCGATTCCCAGTACCAGAAAAAAAAAAAGGAAAAAAAACATAATAACAATGTTCAAGCAGGAAGTACAAGCAGCTACAACTTTTAAAGAAGATTATTTTCTTTCTTAAAACTTGTTTGTCATTATTGCAATTAACTGTTTTGATTCCATGTAAAAAATATTGAGTATATGCCTTTTAGGAAATGCTAAATGAGTAGGATATAATTTTATGTGATAAGTTTATCTATCCCTAAGAGAGGACTGGGTATACTGTTGCCCCTTAGTGTACTGAATGCTTCATTGCAGAACCCCAGAATACCCCCATGGATACCGAAATCCTTGGAGGATTACATACCTTATGTAAAGTGGCATAGTGTTCAAATATAACCCATGGCCATTGGCAGTATACTTTAAATCATCACCAAATTGCTTATAACAGCTGACATAAACGCTATGTAAATAGTTGTACTGTTCAGGAAACAATGACAAGAATAAAAGTCTTTATAGGTTAGACAGATAGAACCATGCTAGGCCTATCTATGAAGCATGTCACATGCCATAGTTTGAATCTGCTGATATGAAGCCTGTGGATACCCAGGGTCTGGGGAGGGGGAGATTAGTGTCATAGATCTCCTCAATCTATTCTTTGGACAATCTGAATTTTAAAGAGTTTTAAGAGATGGGAATAGTTGATACAAAAGTGTTAGGTCCTAACACAGTAAGTACTGCTACATCTGCTGTTAAGATTAAGCTCTTTGTGGTCCTCAGTATTTAAAACTATAGAGGTCTTCTGAAACTCAAAAGGTCTGAAAACTGCTGCCATAAAATATTTTATTGATTGTATGTAATAAAATAACTTCTCTTTATGCCTCAAGGTAGAATACAGACAACAATTACTCAAATAATTTTCTATTCCTCCAGAAATACAATGCCACTGTTTCAGAAAAAGAAGGATGAAATGTATTTCAAAATCTGCCCTAAGTAAACTGTGGTCATATATTTGTATGTCAGTAGTACTGAACACAAGGCTTGTCTCCAAGAATTTTAGAAATTTCAGGGATGCACTAACTTGGAAAAAAAATAAAGAAAACAAAAACCAATGAGAAAAAGGGAGTGCTTCAGAATCCTTTATAGTAAAAAACATAACCCACATGGGTGACGGACTTGTCTCTGCAAATTCAATAGTTTCAAGGTAAATACAACAGTTTCATGGCTGAGAAAGAAGCGTAAACACAGGAGGGTGTGTTGGGATCTGGATTACTGGTCTAAGAGCTATTAAACTTAATATGTAAATTGACTATGCAAGGAATTTGTTTCAAATTCAGATCTCTGACTTTCCCTTGAAAGATTGTGATTAAAAAGAACCTACAGTCTGCATTTCACCCAGCATCACAGACGTGCTGATGTATGGTCCCCCTGGATCATGTTTTGAGTAACACGGTACTGTACTAAGAATAACTGAGATAAGTTTTATAAGAGCATGAGAATAAAATGCTTAAAAGGTAGTTCTGAATTGTGAAGGATGATTTACTTTTTCCGTTTGGATGTAAGCAGAGGTTATACCAGATTGACATTAAAATAACAAGAAGAAGAAAAATAAGTTAATCTACTACTTAGTAAAGAAGAATAAGGTGAGTTGGTTGTGAAGGGGGCTGGAGGATTAAAGAGGGTGGACAGGTAGGTGCAATGCACAAAGGAAGGCTGTCGCCACTGTTCCTTGTGAGAGACCACAGGTCAAAGTCACTCGTGAAGAGGTGCGCTCTTGATGTTGTGCAGAATTTAATGCAACTATGCTTTTCTTCTTTAAGGATGCATCTCCTCTCCCCGCTCTTCTGTCTGGTCTCTGTTCTCCATAACACCATGACACAGGTAGGCACCATGAGCATGGCACAGAAAAGCAGGCTGAGGCTGTCTCTTCACGTCGCCCCTAAGCATGCAGGAAGTCCTCTTGAATGTACTGTTGTCACCCAATCCTTAGAGTAGTTAATCTTTATTAATCTGCGAAGAAAAATGAGAAGCTTTTAAGGAATGAAAGATAAATTATATATATTTATATTTAAAAGTAGCAAGCAAAATATGTACAGTATAGTACTAGACTTTAAAATGAGATTCAAATCTTCTCCCTGAAAGAAATGATTTTACTTTTTCAACTGTCTGCTTCCTTTCTAGCAGCCATATTCCTATTTGATTAGCTAACTTCATGGAAGATAACAGTATGTGATGTAGCAACCATTGTTAATTCCTATCATTTTGTTTTCAGGTCATGTATCATTTTTGTATTGTTTTGATTTTGTATTCATTGTTGTTTTGTTAAGTTTTTTAATCTTTAAAATAAAAAATAAAATAAAATAATTTTTTTTAAAAAAACACCAATTTTACAATGTTACACACACAACAGAGAGCTGTTAGGCCTTGAAAAAGGAAGGAAATCCTGCTTTTTGTGAAAACTTGGATAAGCCTGGAGGACAACACGCCAAGTGAAATAAGCTAGACACAGAAAGAAAAGATACTGTACTATCTCACTTATATGCAGAATCTAACATAACCCAACTCATACAAGCAGCAAGTACAAAGCTGGTTGCCAGGGAGAGGGGGAGTGTAAACTGGGGAGGTGTAGGTTAAAAGGTACAAAGTGTCCCTTAAACAAAATAAATAAGATCTTGAGATCTAATGTACAGCATGTCAACTATAGCCCATGATGTTGTACTGTGTACTTGAAGTTTGTTAGCAAGGTAGATCTTAGTGTTCTCATCATAGAAAGAAACAAAGCAAATAGAGAGAGAGAGAACAGTTACTGTGTGAGGTGATAGGTATGTTAATTTCCTTGAAAATGGTTATATTTGCCAGTGTTTTTCTTGATAGGACAAAGTACTGACACATAAAACTTAAAGGCAATTAGGTTAATTCAAATTACATTTCAGGGGGTTCAGTCCATGGTTAGTTGGCTCCAAAGCATAAACTCTGTGTGTGAGTGTGTGTGTGTGAGAGAGAGACAGAGACAGAGAGACACAGAGAAGAAAGAGATTGAGATTGATTCTCCAAAGGAACACCTCAATGAACCATTTCCTCCTAACAAACCCATTTTCCCCAAGCACATTGGGCTATGAACATCATGGATTAATCCAGTGATGAGTACTGTGTTTCCATTATCCATTAACCTTCTGAGAACCCCATTTCTTTTTTTTATTTTTTATATTTTTTCTATTTTCATGTGGATTGCTAAAAATGTGCTATCTTACATCTTAAGAAATAACTAAAAACAGTAACCAAAAAATGCCTTCTAAACTTGCATGTATTCACCTCGATTTTCCCAGAAATGGGAGAAGGCCCCCTCAGAGGAGGTGGCCTGCAAGGTGGGTGAGGGTAAGTGGATTTCTTCTCTGTCCTCTGCCCAGATCCACTCGGTCTCCAGGCTTCTTTTCAGAAACCACTGTCTGTGGAGGTGAACGCAGCACGACAGGTCCGTACTGTGACCCCTGTGGCTGTTTCCAGGGCCATATCCTAGTTCTCCCTGGAGCCCATGGTTCTGTCTCCTGCAGTGGCTCCTGACAACCTTGAAGGGAATTACCTCCCATTTCTAAATATATGAGACTTTTGGGTGACATTTTTGTTAGTTTGTTTGTTTTGTACTGGGAATTGAACACAGGACCTTGCACTTGCCAGGCAGGCGCTTGTGCCGCTGAGCTATATCCCCAGCTTGGGTGACGTTTTAGATCTAAACCATAACAGTGGTGACCACACTACAATCACAATGCAACTATCGATATAGGCCCTGGGTTCAATCCCCAGTATGATTTATGCTTTGGAGCCAACTAACCATGGACTGAACCCCCAAAATGTAATTTGAATTAATCTAGTCGCCTTTCAGTTGTATGTGTCAGTACGTTGTCCTATCAAGAAAAACACTGACCAATATAACCATTTTCAAGGAAATTAACATACCTATCACCTCACACAGTAACTGTTCTCTCTCTCTCTATTTGCTTTGTTTCTTTCTATGATGAGAACACTAAGATCTACCTTGTTAACAAACTTCATGGGCTATAGTTGACATGCTGTATATTAGATCAATAATTTCTGTACATTAAATCTCTCTGTGTCTCCCTGCAATTATTGTATATCATATATATATGATATATATGCAAAACATCAAATTATGCACCTTAACAATTATATCTTAATGAGGTCAGAAATAAAGTACGGCCAAGTGTGGTGGACCACACCTATAATCCCAGGACTCTGGGAGGCTGAGGCAGAAAGAATGTAAGTTTGAGCCCAGCCGGGGCAACTTAGCAAGATCCTCTGTCAAAATAAACAATAAAAAGAAGGCTAGGTATGTTGCTCCCTTGAAGGCCCTGGGTTCAATCCCCAGTACCAAAAAGAATGAAAAGAAAGAGAGAGAAAGAAAAAAGTCTGACTGTGCAAGCCTTGTGGCTAAGCCCAAAGGACAATATTTCATAATGAAATTTATACCAAGGGGCTGGGGATTTAGCTCAGCAGCAAAGCGCCTGCCTGGCAAGCGCAAGGTCATGAGTTCGGTTCCCGGTACCGGAGAAAAACCAAAAAAAAAAAAAAAAGAAATTTATACCAAAAGTGTGAATGTTATTATTTTTATACACTTCTCACTTAAGCTGGCCTTTCACTGTCTGACATAACTACTGAAAAAGAAGAGGTACAGAAAAGAATCCTTCATCTTCACAATAAACTAAGATCAAAAGTATCACCACCTGCACAAGATATGCTTAAAATGGTAAGATAAACACACAGAAGAAAAAACAATAAAATACTCCCCCAGCATGTCCTCTCAACTAAGAAACAAATCTTTAAGTCTCACCTCTAACTAAGGCATTAAGGTTTACACAAACTCCAGCTGAATTCTACTATGTCCTTTTCCAAGAACAGGCTCATCACACCTTCCATACACCATTCTGTCCATTTGCCTTTGCCTCCCTTCTACACCACTGCCTCTCTCTTGACTGAACTCTTACTCATCTTTGGAAGCTCTCCTCAAATGTTCTCTTTTAGACAAATTCAGTCATAATACTTTCAAATGGATGTAATTTATGTGGGGAAGGCCGGAGGGTGGTGGGTGTAATTGTTCTCTTAATTCTTCTTTTGAATCCCTTAATTCTCTGGGATATTTCTCTTATTCTACTTTCTGTTGTTGCTGTAATTGTGGTAAGATTTGATGTAGGCATGCCTCAGTTTAAAGGACCATGTTTACTAATATTCCTCTTACAATGTCTAACACAGTACTGTGTTTGTAGTAGCCTTTTCTAACTTTATTAAATCATGGTGACTGTAATGAGCTTTTCATGGAACATCCAATGGCTATTTATTTGGAACACAAAGCAGGAATCATAAGAAGTAACCCCTGAATATCTCAAAGTGTGTAACTCCTGAGTTACTCTATCAAGAGGTTAGAAACAGCCCTTAATTTCAGAGTTTCCAAACATAGCAATATTGAATAAAATATAGGGAGTGTTGGAGCTAGAGTCAGGAACTGTTGCTAAAATCTTCAGTCTTTCAATCACCCATTTTATTTTCCCCTTTAAATGCAAGTTAGTGAAATTCCTTGCAAAGCTATGTATAAGAGAAAAGAAAATTTTAAAATGCTTTTTAAATGGAAAATGTTCTTCACATTAAACACCATGATCAAACTTTTGAAAGTCCTGGGCCATGTTTATGGTTCTTTTCCTTTCCTTACAGCTGCAAAAAAAAGAAAGTTTTAGAGTTATCATAACAGTGCTATTCCATAAATACCAAACAGGCTGAGGTCTGTGCATGATTGTAGGTAGAGTTGGACTAGAGAAAATGCGACTTCCACCCAAACAAATAGAATTGTACTTCATGGTACCTAAGTCACAGGGTTATGCCAAGATTCTCTACATATTTGTTGCAAAGAGTAACCTGATGGTCGAACAGTACAGAATACATAATGTACACTTCCTACCCAAATACTTAACATCAAACCATACAGCATGGTAACTATAAGTGGAGGCTCCAGGGAGAAGCTGAGTGAACTGAGACTCTAATCCCTACATGTACTCCCAAGATGAGCTGGGGCAAGTTTCTTTGGTTGGTCCAGTACTTAGTTTCTTTAAAAAGAGTAAAATGATACCTATTGTTTCAAGTGGTTGGGAGGATGATATGTGAGAATACAAGAACAGTGTTTATCATTAATAAAGTTAAAAGTAGGCAATAAATTGCCATGCTATCATTAAACTTTAAGCTCACATTCCATTGGTCATCCTTTCACTTTCAAAAACCTTTCTTGAAGGAAAAAGCCAAACCTCTTATAGATGGGTAATGTCCCAAAGCATCTGTAATAACCAGGAGTGTTCCTAAAAGAAAAAGCACCTCCTACAGTCAGTGAGATTAAAACACACACACACACACACACACACACACACACACACTTCATAAGTGATATTTGAGAGTATCTGGAGGGCAGAAGGTGTAGCTCAATGTTAAAGCATTTGCCTAGCATATGAAAAGAACTGGGATAGATCTCCATTAAAAAAAAAAATAGAATCTATAACCTAGACCTGGTAAAATTCTGAATCATAGCAGCAAAGCAGGATGATATCTGGATAGATCCCAAATATATAGCAAAAGTATGTCCTTTGCCTGGAGATTAAATAGGAGAGAATATCTTACATTCTGATTTACTTCCTTGAATTTTATTCCAGAGAACTCAGGGGGGGGGTAATCTCTTAAATTCATGAATCCTTTGCTAGTGTATGCAAAATACTACAAATATAAATGTTTACCATTTTCTCACAAAAGGTACATATCTTTCATTAAATTATCTTCTTTTATGCAAAAATGTGTTAGGGCTCTTTGAAATACTATACTTATTATCTAGCCCAAGGTGAGCACATTAAATGCATAGCATTTATTTATTCTGCTTCTCAAAGCCATTACTCTGAGTTGCATCACTAAATATACATAAATTAAGCTCTACCAAGTGGAGCTGATTAAATATTAAAATTGAAGGGCCTATAAGAGGAGATTATAGCACATTAGGGAAAAAAGAAAGAAGAGATTGGGAAACTCACTGGAAATGAAGATTGAGTTCAGAATGATGATAACATAGCGTTCAATTCTTAACAAGGACAATGATGACCCTTTCAGGCCATGAGTGTAGAGACTTCAGATAAAAACCAAAGGTCCCTGTGAAAAAGTAGTGACTAGCCTACCTGGACTGAGGACAGCATACTTAAGAAAGCTATGATTTGATGTTGCAGAGAACCAGATTATGGAGAGTTTAAACAGTACAGTTTATGCAGGATTTTCTTAAGGGGAAGGGAAGTAGTGCATCAGAGACTAGAATGTGGTTGGAATCTGAAAAATAAAAAAAGAATTAATTTTTTAGAAACAGAAAGTCTGAGTAAGTAAAACTGGTGTTTGCCAGGGGTTTACATGCTTTTCCGGTACACAGTGTGTAATGCAAAATATTTCTGTTCTTCACTAAGGAATGGAATCTTGAAAATGCCCAGTCATCTCAAAAGATAGCAGACCAGTGTAAGATGGTACCAGACGAAAGTGACGGGCATCGTAAGTGACGGGCATCGTAAGTGACGGGAGTCTCCAAGGAACTATGTGCTGCAGATCATTAGCAATGCCTTGAAAAAAAAGTCCCTCACACAAGAGGATCTGTAGCTTCCTGGGTTTTTTTGTTTTTTTTTTTTTTGTTTTTCTCCAGTACCGGGAACCGAACTCACAACCTTGCGCTTGCCAGGCAGGCGCTTTTGCCCCTGAGCTAAATCCCCAGTCCCTGTAGCTTCCTGTTAATTCTGTGTTCAGAAGTCAGACAATACCAAGAAAGCCTCCTTCCACCACTGTGTGTCTTTCAGAATAGCAGAAAGACACTGTCTACTGTTTTTCTATCAGTTTTAGGTGGTATTCTCCAAAAGCCATTTTTGCGATTTCTCTAAAGTTCACCACCTTGAAAGTAATCAGAATACCGAATCATCTGCAGTTCAAAAAGGAAGAAACAGTAATGACCATTGGCTTTGAACCACCTTGTGTTTCTCTTGTTCAGTTTCAAATTTTAAATAAGTTCACCCATCCTCCCCTTCTTCTGAAGTAGTTTAATAATAGATTATGCTTTGCCAGCGATTAATCCGCCCTGTTGCCCATGTTTGGACTGTAAGCCAAGAATAAGCACTCCAGCCTTTCCTACTTCAATATTCTGCTTTCTGCAAATTTCTTCTGCTGCACCTAAAAATGTCAAATGTTCTTGATACTTATTTTCTGTCACACAAAACAGCGTGCACTCCCTGTATTGGCCTCCTAATTGTTTATCCCTATAACCTTGCAGCCCACACCTCCTATCTACACCTAAGCTTACACAGCATTTACATTAGTTATCACCATCATAATATCAATGTTTTCAAATATTTTGATAAAATAAACACACATTGGTTTCCTTCCTGAGAGATCATGGCGTGTAAATTCCACAGGAAAGAAAAATTAACAAGAAAGAAAGATGTCTCAGACTATCTAGATCAGGCACTGTATTTCTGTCCATTATGCTTCCCCCAAAAGTGGATAAATACCGTTCTTAGAAAAATGCAC